ACAAGTAGAAATAAGCTGAACGATTGTTGTTTAATTCACTGAGTTCAGTCCTTGGTACGGGACAAGCTAGCCTTGGACCCAGACTAGTATCGGGCCGTGAGCCGTTTCCCTTCGGTTGCCAAGATCACTACGCCCGCCAATCTCATGCACCGCTACGCTCGCTACGGGGGAGGATGGTGATGGCATGTAAAGCCTTACATGTATTTTACAAACCTGCACACAGAATGAAGAATTATAAGCAGTCACCCCCATCAAACTCCTTTCAAGCCGTACCCGGAAATTCAAGCCGTACCCGCTTAAAAAATTCTGGCCGTACCCGGTAAATTCGTGCCGTACCCGTCATTAAAAACTAATAATAGGGAATTGTAGATTGTGTGCAGGATAGCTAGAAAAGTCCAGAAAGTCATATCACAAATGTCCTTTTCCACGTTAGGAGAAAGCTTTAATCTTCCGCCTCTCGTGACCGCCCCCCCCAATTCTGACAAGAGGCAGTGCTCTTTAGCCTAATTAGGCACATTCATTAAAAACTAATAATAGGGAATTGTAGATTGTGTGCAGGATAGCTAGAATAGCGAAAAAAGTCGGATCAGAAATAGTCCTTCTCCACGTTAGGAGAAAGCTTTAATCTTCCGCCTCTCGTGACCGCCCCCCCCCATTCTTATATATAAAAGTACATGACTATTACATACTCTAACACTAATTAATTCTAACAAAAGCCATAATCATAACAACACAATTTCAGCTAAAAACATGGGACGGTAAACCATAACAGGAAACCGCAATTTCGGCCAGGTTTCGGGAATGTTACTACGAAAGACACGCTACATATACTCTTCAACATGTGAATAAACACGGCGGCCCGGTTGTGTTTGGTGCGCGACACGGTAGAATTGGTCGTGGTGGCTTCTTAAGAACCGGAAGAAACTACACAATATATAACTTAGCATTTGAGTCACGTTTTATGGACATGTGTAATGCCACACGGCGTGATCTGCATAAAAATTATCTTATTTGCATGTTCGTGAGATTTAAATGGTACAAATTACCTCATTTGCATGTTCGTGAGATTCAAATGGTTCCGACCGCACAACACAGTATTCATGGGCGAACCCCGTACGGGTACAAAGTAGTGCTACACAATACTAGAGAAAGGTGCAGAAATTGTTCTGTGCAGAAATCCTACGGTCTCACAGCTTTGCCTAACTCTGTGACCACCTT